AAGGAGGAGCGGTGGGGGGATGGTGATTTGTATTGGGGGTGGAGAAAGGATGATCTCTTTGAGTTGGGGTTGAGTTTAACCTTAAGTACTTAAGTAGGGGGCAGAAATTTTGAGAAGGGCAGGAGGGTGGGAAGGGAATAGGGAACGTCTTGTTTCTTGGGGAGATAATCATAATGTGTCCATTTAACTTTGGAAAAGCAGTAGGAAATAAGTTGATATCATATTTGCTGGGGGAAGCATAGTTTAAATGCCAAAGAAAAACAAGTAAACCTAATCTCCAAGGTTACAGGAAGTTAATAAGAAAGGTACAAAGACTCCTACTAAATATTTAGTGTAAAACAAGCAGCAACAATAGTTAAGAAAATATTCTCCTTGTTTCCCACATTTCCAGTACCAAACATGTGTTTTTGTAATTAGAAAGAGGGAGAGACTAAGAGGTTGAACCAGAAAAAGTACTGAACGCTCTACACGCCACTCTGGGAAGGGAAGGGTAACTTTTTAGGTATTTGGGCTATTAGAGTGAAGGCAAAAATAAAACTCAACAAAAAACTCCAAATACAAGGCAAAATTGGGGAAATGATTGAGGTTCTTGTATTTCAAGGGCTCCAAAGAGCCCTTGTTCATGGCTAAGTGTCTGAGTACAGCAGTCTTTGGTAGGGTCATTCCCAGCCGAGATGGCCGTTTGTACAATGGCAGCCATGTCTCATTACAGAGTCCTGTTTCTGATGAAAATAGAAGTTGGCAGGGCTTAGTTCTAAGCAATGTACTTAGCCTCTCTGAACCTCTTTCTTCATCTGTAAGTTGCTGCCAGTAGTAGTCTTGACATCACAATAATGGCTTTTATGATGTACACATATTGTGACACGTGTTGAGTGCTTAACAACTGTGGTTGGTACATAGCCAATGGTCAATGTTACAGTCATTATTAATACTTTAAAGAATAAATTTATCTTCTGACCTAGAGAATTAGTTCTTATATTGCCTTAGATGTGATTAGATGCCTCTTTGGTCTGGGTTTGGAATCAAACCCACACCTAAATTGGAACTAAACTGAACTGAGTTTGGTGGCATGGTGGGGATGGGGGTGTAGCAGGGTGGGAGACAGAGGTGCAAGGTGTTGTGGCCACAAGAATATTAAATTCCACGTCAGCTTCTGGTTTAATTTGGCACTGACTGCTATTCAAACAAAGCAGTGTTGTGAGTGTCAGAGGAAGGGAGAGGAGAAAAATCAACACATTTTTGGAAATAAGATGTGGCTTTTGCTTTGACTATTTTGTTTTTTCTTCAGCCATAAAAATATTTCTTTGCTCTGGGGCTTACAACGAAAATCCCTTCCAGGACACTGTACAAACCTAAATTTCAGAGGAAACTTCTATTTAAGATGACAAGGAATTAGCAGGACTTCCTTTGATACTTGTTTAATAGGAGAACCTCTCAGAGAAGAAATCTTTAAATAATATACACTTAGAGTCCCCCTTACAGTTATTTCCTGTAGCTTTGGCATATGTGGTACTTGAAAAGTTGATGTATGCTAATGTATATTCCCTGGTGACCTTGCCTCAGTGCTAATAGGATTATAGATGTATCATTTACCCATTCTCTGCATGTATTCTTGTGTTAGGCTTTTGTAATTTTAGGATAAAATTCTAGGGTAAAGCCTGGCAGTACAAGTAATTCATTCTCCAATAGTTGCTCTCTAGGGCCTCAGACATCTGGCAGGATGCTAAAAGGAGCTGGTCCTAGGTCAATATTCGAAGCACAGGGAAGCTCTGTGTGACCAAATCAATGGAACATTCCTGTTTTCTGGTATACATTTAAAGCAAGGTTTCAAGTAAAAAGGTTTGGGCATTCGTCTCTCTTTCACTTTTTGCCATAGCAATACTACTCAATGCCCATTTATGATGTTAAGCTTGTGTCAGTTGGCTAGGCAACTGTGGTCCTGTAGCAATAACACCCACTCACTAGACTATCAGCCTCTGCCTTCAAAGAGCTTACACTTTAGTTGAGGAACCAGACCTTACTACATGTTCTGTGTTGTAACAATGTAGACCCACCTGTTCATGAAACATAACATAGGGACATGGAGCTACCTACACATATGATTTAAAAGGAAAAATAATACTAGCACAGTAAATTTTGGTTTTGCTATTAGCTGTGTGACCTTAGATGTCAGCCTCTTTATGATCAGCTGGTTCTTAATCTGAAAACCCAGGGGTTGGAATATAGAGTGCCTTTCAGTTTTAACATTTAAAAGGGGATCACATTTACCTGGCATTCTCTGTAGCACCTTCCCTTTTTAAAAGTTTTCCCTAATGGCTGAACTTCCGCTTCAGCATTAATTACTTTTAAACACTTTCCCCTCAACTTTCCAATTACTTAGAGAATGAGAAGAGGAAATTCTAAAATGCATTATCAATCTGTCATACCTAGCTTGGAATTCTTTCAACAAGCGATTATTTCCCACAATCCTTTCATTTTTATGCTCTCTCCCCACCACATAAAACAATGCTCAAAAATTGAAAAGCACAGAACAAGTGAGAAACAAAGCCGCCTAATCCCGCCCCTCAAGTAAATCGCACTTTTCCCTTCAGTTTTTGTCTCAAAACCTGTGACTCCATGTATCGCTTCGCAGCCCGCTTCCTCCTTGGAAATACATTTCTTGTGGGTATTTTGCCATGTAATGAAAGTGTTCTTAGGTCACTTTTAACTTTTTACTCTTTTCTTTCCTTTTAGGGAACTAAGGGCCGACGAGGCCGAATCTCAGCGCGGGCGCTGACGATGATAGAAACATGAAGTTATAAGAACCGCGGAGAGGCGGGGCGAGGGGGGGCACCGGGGAAGATTTTTAGTGCAAAAAGGAAGCCAGGTCCACCGAAAGATCTAAGAAATTCCCAACACTAGAACCTTTGTATATAGTTTTCAGTAATCTTCGGCAGGGGGCGCTCGGAAATTGTCGCACTTTCCGGGCAACCTTCAGGACTTCACCCTCTAGAAACCGAACAGTGTTTCCGGCTCTTCTCAGTTGTGGACGCTCGTAAGTGTTCGGCAGTTTCCGGGGAGACTCGGGGACGCCGCTTCTCGCTTCCTCGGCTCTGATCCCCAGTCCGGCGGGCAGGGTCCTGGGCTAGTCATGGCGTCCCCGTCTCGGAGACTGCAGACTAAACCAGTCATCACTTGTTTCAAGAGCGTCCTTCTGATCTACACTTTCATATTCTGGGTGAGAGACGGAGGCGCCCGGGGACGGGAGGGGACCCTGGGCTTGGGTTGGGGGTGTGACCCTGAGCGGAGGGAGCTCAGGTCCGGGATTCCAGGGGAGACATGGGGTGGAGAGATTTGGGCAGAGGTGCTGTGGGGACTCAGGCGACGAGTTGCTGGGGCTTGAGCGCGTGCATCTCGCCCTTGCCGGGGTCGTGGTGCGGGATGGCGGCGGCCGGTAGGCTGAACTGAGGAACCCAGACGTGCCCAGCATTCAAATTCGATGCGGGGTGGGGGTGGGGTGGGGGCGGCGAGGAAGGGAGTTTACCCTCCAGGGTATGCAGAGGGTGTCCCCGGACCTTTAGAGAAGCAGGGCTGGGCCGGCCACTCTGAGGGCTTTTGCTTGCATAATAGTCTCTTTCTTTTCACTGCTTCATAAAGAGGGGAGTATTTCACAGGTAAGTATGGTAATGGCCCCATTCCCGCCAATCTATCCTTGGACTTGCTTTTGTGTACCATCCCTTTGTACTCATCTCTGATGTTGGGGGAAGGGGAAGTTTCTGGAATTCATAAAAATACCCCGCTCCTCCAGGAAGGTTTTATTAAGCAGGAGTAAGACAGTTAAGAAACTTTTGATACCCTGGGTTTGTGTTTATACAGCAAAACAGATGAAGTTTAAGGATTTTATTAAGATGCCTTCTCTAGCTGCCCCCTGGCTTCACCCTGGCTACCTGGGCTACCTAAAATGATCCAGCTGTGGATTTATAAAGGCCTGTCCTTTTGAGCAGATCCCCTTTAGACCCCTCCCCCTCCTTGTCTGCCACATCCCAGCCACAGCTCTGTGGCCATGGACTGCTAAATAATTGTCACACCTATTGTTACTTAAATACCTAGTGGTTTGTGGTTTGGATATACATATATCACTTTTAAGTCTATTCAAATCAGTGTATAACTTTTTATTCTCTGATTTCCCACATAGATCACTGGTGTTATCCTTCTTGCCGTTGGCATTTGGGGCAAGGTGAGCCTGGAGAATTATTTCTCCCTTTTAAATGAGAAGGCCACCAATGTTCCCTTCGTGCTCATCGGCACTGGCACTGTCATCATTCTTTTGGGCACCTTTGGCTGTTTTGCTACCTGCCGAGCTTCTGCGTGGATGCTAAAACTGGTGAGTCCTTATTTTCCTTAGAAGTGGGCTTTGCTTTTTTGGAACTGGCCATGGCCTTTTAAGATTTCTCAGTTCCTTATGAAAACTTACCAAGTAATAGTTCAGCTGCCAGTTACCACTTTTGTTGTGCTTTCCCTATCCTTTTCAGTAAAAAACATGCTGATTGAAGAGACCATTTTCCCTTGACTCCCTTTGCTGCTGTGATGTATCTAATTTATGCTGACTTAGACTTTTTTTTTATCTTGCAGTATGCAATGTTTCTGACTCTCATTTTTTTGGTTGAACTGGTCGCTGCCATTGTTGGATTTGTTTTCAGACATGAGGTAAGCCAGAGTTCGGGAGATAAAAATGGATTCATTTAAATCACAGAGTTAAAGACAACTTTGACTAGTTTAAAAATCACTTACAGTTGTGTTTTAAAGCCTTATTTTTGCAACTCATAGCTAACAAGAATGGCTTTCTTGTAAAAATTCTAGTCCACTTTTAATATAAAAAAATTTAGAAAATGAACAAAATTAAAGATGCCCATAATTACATGTATTTCTAGTAATTTTTCTGTGTATAAGTACCTATTAAAGTGGAGATGGTACAGTTTATAACTTTGATAGGAAACTATTTAAAGCACAAAATTGATACCATCTCCATTTATGCCACACAGAAAAGACTGGATATACTTAATGCACATCATGAAAACCTTAATATTGAATTAGGAATCAGCATTCCACTCTGTTAAGCCTGGGGTTACAAAATGATTCAGTGAGTAGTGAAGGCTCATCAATGAGAGTATTTTTTACAATGTGGTAGTGCATCCTCCCAAAGTGAAGTAGCTTAAACATTCCACAGGCATCAAATTTGTGCTATTAAAACTGGATAAAGATTGGGGTGGGGTGAATACAGCAGAACAGAGCTGCCACTTGAATAAATACATGCTCCCATAGCACTTTGAACTTGTAGTGGTTATCATCTTTTATTGTAATGGTTTGCTTACAAACATTTAGTAGTCCCCTCGGCTAACCTATATCCCTTGGAGGACAGGATTGGTCCATAGAAGTTAATTACCATGCATATTGCTGCTGTCAGATGAAGGAATTTCTTATTTGACTTTGTTTATTGGCCTTGTGTTTCTTTGCTGTAGATTAAGGACAGCTTTAAGAATAATTATGAGAAAGCTTTAAAGCAGTATAATGCTACGGGAGATTATAGAAGCAATGCAGTAGACAAGATTCAAAGTACGGTAAGTGATCATTGGAGGTGTCTTCTCAAGAGGGGGACACAGCCCCTATCCCCTGAGAGAAGAAGACAGGGTCCACTTGTCCTATGCTCTCATTATAATCTTAGATCAGTAGAGAATGAAGATATTTCCCTGAAAAGAAGAGTATGACGATACTAAGGGACATATCTCCATTTTATCCTAATCATTCTCCTCACATGTGCAACACTTCAGTCCCCACTGACATCATGGCCCAAGTCCTGTTAGCACCAACAATAGCAGGAAAGTAAGGCCAGTCCAAAAATGTTAGAAACATTTGGTGTTTGAAACAAGTGTTCGTCTTTTGAATTATAATGCCAATTAAGGACAGCCACACAAAAAATAATTACATATAATAAATGTTTTTTAAAATTTATCTTTATTGTTGAAAGTATTACCGATGTCCCCTATTTCCCCCTCCACCCTGCACCTGTCCCCGTCCCAATGTTGTTTGGAACACAAATTATAATCTAAGATGATAGGTTAAATGTTTGACTACAAAGTTGTAATGTGAAGTATCAATGTTTTTGTTGGGATTTTTCAGTTACATTGTTGTGGTGCCACAAACTTTAGAGATTGGAAGGATACTAATTATTACATAGAAAAAGGATTTCCCAAGAGCTGCTGTAAAGTTGAAGATTGTTCTCCTCAGAGGGATGCCGATAAAGTAAACAATGAAGTAAGGAGCCTTTTATAATTTTTTTGAAGATATTAACTGAATACAGAGTTGCCTCACTTTTTAGTTTTTAATCACAATACACATAATCTGAAATAGGGCAGGTATTATTCTCATTGAATAAATGAGGAAATTGAAACTCAGAAAATGCGTGATTTGAGTTCATACAACCAGCAAGAAATGCTTTTTAAATGTATAATCCAAAAGGTGGAACTTCTGTTCCTCAAAGTTCTACCAAAAACAGTGTGCTTGAAAGGAGACAGTGTTTGTTACATGAAAGAGTAAACTTTAATAAAATGGCAAAGGCTAGTGTATCCAAAGTTCATCTTTCTGCCAACATGTATGATCAAAATATTGTTGCTCATGCTGTACTTAATAGTTTTTTTCTCTCCCATTAGGGTTGTTTTATAAAGGTGATGACCATTATAGAATCAGAAATGGGAGTTGTTGCTGGAATTTCCTTTGGAGTTGCTTGTTTCCAGGTAAATCCATGTATTTAGGAACTGTTTCATCACTCTTATAGGTGTCAGCTAGAAGATTTCTACTTTGAAGGCTTCAAGTTTTCGCTTCAGGGCCTTGGATAGTGGGCATTTTCAAAGAAGTTACATTTTCACAACTCTCAGTTGCTCATCACAGTACATGAAGCATATGTAGTAAATCATTTGTGATTGGATTTTTATTTAGCTTATTTGGAAAGGAATATTTTGCCTTTTTCATTCCAATTTTTTGATGTCTTAGCTCTTACATTTTTCCATAACTACAGATTTAAGTTTTTATTACCATTTTACCTCTTCTTTTTACATGGCCAGTCATTCCTTGAAACTACAAAAAGCAAGGCTTAAAATTAACTTCTAGCCGTGTATATCTTTGGAAAGCAGTTAACTGTAGAAAAACCTGGTGCCCTCTTAGTTATGGCAACTTTCCAGCATCACAGTTCATTAAACAAAATATGAGATAGACCGGAACCTTGCTTTGCTCTGCAGTCAGTCAAGATTCTAAAACATTATTAGAATCTCTTTCTTTTTTCCTGAGCTGCAACTCCCTGATGAGTTGCATGTAAGTCCCAGCCTATTAAAATTTAGATCATACAAACCCACATTCAATATGTGCCTATTATTTTAGGTGGGTACTATGTTGTGGATTCAAGTTGTATTTCTGGAGTTTTGCTATGTCTCACTATAGCATGAAAAGTCTATATTGTGGCTCTAGACCAGGGGTCCTCAAACTTTTTAAACAGGGGGCCAGTTCACTGTCCCTCAGACCGTTGGAGGGCCGGACTATAGTTTAAAAAAAAAACTATGAACAAATTCCTATGCACACTGCACATATCTTATTTTGAAGTAAAAAAAACAAAACGGGAACAAATACAATATTTGTATTTGCATGTGGATCGCGGGCCGTAGTTTGAGGACCCCTGAGCTCTATACTGGGGATCCAGCCCTCAACCTGGGCCCTCAACCTGTGCCCTGACCAGGAATCGAACCCTCACCTCCTCGTTCATAGGTCAATGCTCAACCACTGAGCCACACCGGCCGGTACTGACTTCTCTTCTTGAATTTACCTCACAGTTGTAGGCTTGTGCGTCACTGACATCACTGTCCTTTTAGAGGAGGGGTCCTCAAACTTTTTAAACAGGGGGCCAGTTCACTGTCCCTCAGACCGTTGGAGGGCCGGACTATAGTTTAAAAAAAAACTATGAACAAATTCCTATGCACACTGCACATATCTTATTTTGAAGTAAAAAAACAAAACGGGAACAAATACAATATTTGTATTTGCATGTGGCCCCCGGGCCGTAGTTTGAGGACCCCTGCTCTAGACAACTTACTTAGGGGGTATTTTTCCTATTAAACATTGTGGAGATAAGACTAAAAGCATTTTGACCTATGTAATTGATGAAGTCTAATCTTAATATATTTCTAAAGTAGTAGGCATAGCTATATCTGAATCTGCTTTGTCTAAGAAAATATCCACTAGCTACATTTTAAAGGTTCTGTTTCTTAAATAAAATTTAAATTTTGTTTCTTCAGTTACTCTACTCCTATTTGAAATCTTGAAAAGCCACAGGTGGTCAGTGGTGATCTTATTGGACAGGAGAGGTTTGGTATTACACACCATTGCCAGCACTGCAACGCTGCTCTAGACTCTCCAGGAAAATCTCTGTCCTCACATGGAAATTTTACTGGATGAGATTCTTATTCTAAGTTATACCCTTTTTTTCTGATAACAGAGGAAGAGGAAGAAGTGTTTCCCCAAAATTATGACATTTAGACTTTTCCTTGGGTGATTTTTGTCAGTTACAGTTGTGAAATTCCAGGTCACAGTAGTAGTAGAACTTCGCTTATATCCTTTGAATGTGACCTAGATGCTGCATAGTATCAAACATAACTATCCAGAAAAACGTCAGGAAGGAAATCATTAGTGAAGTAGAAGTTAAGGAGATTCTACCTACACCCTGAGGTCTTTAAGCTCTTTGGTGTGTGTATTTAATTTTGCTTGTATTTTATTTCCAGCTGATTGGAATCTTTCTCGCCTACTGCCTCTCTCGCGCTATAACAAACAACCAGTATGAGATAGTGTAACCAACATTACATATGCTTACTCCTTTCCATCTTTAAGGTACGTTCATTTTGGTCCTCCACTATATCAGTGTTGGTATTTGCTTCAGCCTGTGCATGTGATAGATGGAGTAAGTTTGCCAAAAAGGTATTGTCCAGTAGTGCCTTCAAATCTTATTGGTACTGTTAGCCCCACATAGATAGCTCAGGTCTCTAAATTCAAGGCATGACCAAAAAGGACAGAAGGGCCTCTTTTGGTTTACCTACACATGTCCAGCCTGAAGATCCTGAGTGATGGTCCCCTTTCTAGCAAATTTGAACCTAGAGTGAAGAGCAGGGTTGGGGAACCTTTTTTTCTGCCAAGGGCCATTTGTGTATTTATAACATCATTCGCTTAACATAATTCACTTAATATAAATTTATGTTGCTATGAAAAAAGCTCCTAGATTTGTTGAATTTCAAGTCCTGCCTGTGGTTGCCTTGGCAGGGCCAGATCAAATGATTTTGCAGGCCTTATATGGCCCTCATCCCTGGTGAAGAGAAATGAGGTTCCCTGGGAAGTACACTCTGCTCTTGACCAATAGTGGCATTTCCCCTAGGCTTTGGCCTAGTTCTCATTATCACAATCATCTGGTGGACTTATTATTAGAGACAAAGAACTATCAAAATAGGTGTATATATGGTATAAAATAAGACCTTATACTCCATAATGGCAGAGGCGGTGCTTTAGTGCTGTTACTCTGGCACTTTGAAAAGTGATTAGGGCATAGTGGGAACACATGAAAGTCTTAGTAGAATAGATTAGAATGTGTGCAAGTGAATACAGATATTGATAATTGGGTTGCAAGTAAATTTTTTTCTTTCATTTTAGGATATTTACATTACCCTCTGTGAGCTACTAGATTGCCTGGTTTGGAAAACTGCCCCATGTTACCCATTGACCGAAAAGCTACACCAATAGTCTGATTCAATCTAGACATTTGTCCAATATCGTATAAGTCCACCTTTTGTCCCTATCATCATGTAAGATCATTGAAACTTTCTTCTCTCTATGAAACACTGGAAGAGCTAGTAAATTGTAAATGAAACAATGTTTGCTTGTTCCTCTTGATTATTGTTTTTCTCAATGTAGGGCTTTTGAAAGGCACTGTGGATTTTCTGTTTTGATGTACTGTTATAAAATGGGAAATTGACCCCTTTGAACTGGCCCCTTCTCAGCCAAGGTTTATGTAATTTGATTGCATAATTTGCATCAATAAGGTAAAATGTTTTCATTAGTCTCTCTCTGTTCTGATAGGCATTGTGTAATTTAATTCCAGCCACGAGTTGGATGGCACCCATCAGAGTTGCCAGATGGTGGTAACAGTCTCTGACCTAAGGTACCCAAGACTAAAGGGCACTACCATTTCTGTGACACATCAGATAGCAGCACACTTATACTTTACATTTCTTTGCCTCCAAGTTCAGGTGTTTATATTTCCTCCATCACTTGAAAGGTTCTAATTAATGGTGTTAGAATTAGTGTGTTTTCCTGAGAAATTTAAAGCAACTCATCTTCATTAGCTTTAGCTGGTATTATTTTACCAGATTGATATGACTTAATTATCAATATCATGGTCAACTTTAATAATCTTAGTTTTGGTTTATGCCTTTGATTCATAAATATGACTTTTACACGAGAAATATTGTTTTCCTCGAAATTCGTATTTAAATTCACTTTTAGAAACTACTGAATGGTTATTTTCTACTGAGAAAGCTAAGCCCCATATTTCTATTTGGAATACAGTTTTAGATATGAAATGTAGAACTGAGCTATTGACTATGAGTTTTTTTATTCATTTATTGCTTTCAGTTTTATATCCCACATATGAGTGAGATCATATGGTCCTTAACTTTTTCTGTCTGACTTATTTTGCTTAGTATAATATTCTACTTGAAACCTATGTAATCTTATTAATCAATGTCACCCCAATAAATTTAATTTAAATAATAAAACTGCATGTAAAACATTAATGTCTCTGTTTACAGAAACTTATTCCCTGTGAAAAGATTACTTTCCTTGTTATGAAATAGCAAATTCTTAGCATTCTCCCAAAGATCAGACTTTTAAAATTAGACCTGAAGATGGCGACCGGCAGGAAGGTAGGGAGGGAGAGAGTGTGAGAGAGTGAGGGAGCGATAGAGGAGTGTGTGGATGTGTGTGATGTGTGTGTGTATGAGCTAGGGACAGTTAGATTCTGCAGGTCTTCCAAGGGGCTGCCAAACTGGGCAGTCTTAGACGGCGGAGCCCCGCTCCCTGCGCGGACACTCCTGGGCGGCCAGCGCGGGCATAGAGACCACGCCATCTTGAGAAACAGAGCTGCCTGAGACTAGGATCCTGGCCTCAGCACCACCCAGTCTGGTCTCAGACGCAAACCAGGACCCTGCAGCCACTGGGGACAGAGACCTGTGACCACAGCTGCAGACCCACAGACACCAAGAACCCAGACATCCCGGCCGCAGATTTCTGTGAGTAACAGAGCCCATCCCCCTCCCCACATGCTCCTGGGCAGCTCCATAGTAACTGATAGACCTGCCCCTTGCACACAGGCCGCAGCACCACTACAGGAATTTGAACCTGAGAGTGAGCGGACACTGGGAATCTGTTCCCCGCAACGCCCCTAAAGGTATTTGAGCCTGGGAGTGTGTGGACACTGAGAATCTGTTCCCCACAACACATGCAATCGGGCGACCAAACCCGAAGCCCATGCAGGGTGGCAGTGCCACCTGACTTCGATTCTGGGCAAGCGCACACTGAAATCTGTTTTCCACAGTGCAGGTTATGACCTCCTGTAGACACAGTGCTACTGTGCAAGCCAGTCCCCCAAGCTGACCGGGACCCCGATTCTCCGGGCGGGAGACAGCACTGAGCACCAGTGACTTGATTCTATTTCTTATCACATGTGCCTGGGATCCCTGACTCCAGTGCATTCACACTAAGAGCCAGTGACTCCAATTCTTGGTACATGCCCACACAGGGACCCTGATTCTCAGTGCGAGGCCGCGTGAAGCAACAGAGACTCTGATACTGGATTCTTGGGGAACTCTGACTCCTGGCACAGGCTAGGGGGCTCTGATTTTCGGCACATGCCAGGGGGGTCTCCGTTTCAGCACGGTGCAGGCGGGGTCCCTGATTCTAGGTGCGCACATGAGGCCACACTGAGCGCTGGTAACCTGACTCTGGGTGAGCCTGGTTCCCACCAACTCACGGCAGCCACACATCTTAGTGTTGAAGCTCTTCAGTGACAGTAGGGTGGTGTGAAGCTCCCACTACACATGGCCTAGGCCCACGCAACTTGAAGTTTGAACCTTCTGGTGATAGTCAGAATGGGGAGATGACACAATCCCCAGAGGAAAGAAAATTAGGAATCGCCAAGAAAGGAAATTAGTGAAATTGAAGCATGCAACATGACAGAAAAAGAATTCAGAGTAATTGTACAATTCATTCACTGGATGGATGAGAAAATCAACAACCTATGCAAGAATCAGAAAGAAATGAAAAGTGATATAGCTACAATCAAAAACACCATGGAAAGTTTCAACAGCAGGCTGAAAGAAGCAGAGGACCGAATTAGTATGCACACCTTCGCCCAGGCCTGCTGGCTGACAGACAGCCCAGCAGGATGAAGTGGAAAATGGAAGCAATTACCTGGATTATTCAATGTTTGTTGCATGAATGAATGAATGCAAGAATGACTAATTCAGTGCAAAAATGAAAAAAGGGTAGAATATGTAATTGAAGAAAATCCCTTTTGCCTGAATTATTATCTAGATAATTATCTGTTTTTGCAAAGTTCTGCTTTTTATCAAACTTGAATTCTTCCTGCCGCATTGTCACTCACACCTTTTTGACCTGTGAGGATGGCCAACTGATCACTCCCTTCTCTTGAATGGTTTTTCCCGTTCAGTTCAAAACAGAGGCTGTAGCAGGTTGCGTGCTTTCCGGCGGGATCTCTCAGCTTAATCTCTGTTTCCTCCGCCCGCCTCCCAGGACCCTCAGAGCTGGGAGAGCAATAGGCCAGGTCACCTGGATAAATGCGCTGACACTCACCATGGTCCCGGTTCTCAGAGGCATCTCCATCCAAGAATCCAGGTCTGAACAGCATCAGACCCCGCAGGGCAGACCCCTGGCCCTGAGAGAGAACAGGCAGCCAGGACACCCTCAACCCTGAACTCCTCCCCGGAAACACACCACAGAGGTGGCCGGCCCTTAAGCAGATTCAGCCACAGTTACACTGAGTGGCATTCTCTGCTTTTCTGAGGGAGAAGAGGTGGTGGTGGTGGTGGTGGGTAATATGGTTTCTGCCCCCAGGGAGTGCCCAGAATGCAGAGACACAGAATGTCATCTTCAGAGAGGCCCCAGTCTGACTAAGGAGGCACAGTCCCAGCTCTCACCAAAGCTGACCACCTTTGTCCAGAAGGTACAGGACCCCACCTTGCAGGCCTCCCCCCACCCCTGCTTCCTCCAGCCCCCAGGGCTGTCGGAGAGCCTGGCTTTGGCCAGAAGCGAATGTATTTTTGATGGCTCGGTACAGATAATGCTGCAGACTTGTCACGGCAGGAGACGGTGTCGGTGGGAGCTAACGGCGCAGGCGCAGGCGCACGCTCACAGGCACACCCACACAGTTGTGGGCACACGCTGATATGACTTGCTTGAGAGTTCTAACGGTTCTTTGGGGTTCAGATCCACGATCACATTTGTTTCTCACAGCAGCCACTAGGTCAGTGATGGCGAACCTTTTGAGCTCGGCGTGTCAGCATTTTGAAAACCCCTAACTTAACTCTGGTGCCGTGTCACATATAGAAATTTTTTGATATTTGCAACCATAGTAAAACAAAGACTTATATTTTTGATATTTATTTTATATATTTAAATGCCATTTAACAAAGAAAAATCAACCAAAAAAATGAGTTTGTGTGTCACCTCTGACATGCGTGTCATAGGTTCGCCATCACTGAACTAGGCTATACTCCCAAGTGCAGAAGAGAAGACCAGCATGCCCTTTGGAAGTCTTGATTTTTCTGTGGTTCTGAGCCCTGAATGGTGGCAGTGGTCTTTAGAGAACCCAGGAGCTGGAGCTTGTGGCCTCCTGTGGGCGTCCATGCTAGCATTGCAAACCCCAGGCCCCTCTGGGAAGCTCGGAGGTCCTCAGGGAGCTGGTTGGTGATATGGATGTGGCTTGAGGATGTTCATAGCTGCCAAATAGGGTTTGAGGCTGGAGGATGAGGAAAGAGGAGTTGGTTTCAAGGTGTTTTACAAGATCTAAGTGTCTGGCAAACTGCTTCATCTGTAGAGTAAAACTATGTCCTCAAAAAGCCCTGGGTCAGCCTATTTTTTCTCTGAAATGTAGAGTGGCCGACAGTGCCAGAACCCATGTTCCTGACATCTTCTACACCATATATTAGAGTGTGTGTGTGTGTGTGTGTGTGTGTGTGTGTGTGTGGCGTTTTATGTTGTACCTGCTGTGGGCCTAATAGCCAGTTGAATTTCAAGAATCTTGGAGTCAGAGAAACCAAGATGGCAGCATAGGTAAACACATGAAATTGCTGCCTCACACAACCACTTCAAAAATACAACTAAAAGACAAAATGGACATCATCCAGAACCACAGGAAGGCTGGCTGAGTGGAAATTCTACAACTAGAAGGAAAGAGAAAAGCACACTGAGACTCAGAGGAGGTATAGAAGTGCAGAAGTACAGAGGCAAACGTGGAAAGGGCTGGCAACTGAGGATGCAGTTGTCTTTTTCAATCAGGAGGGAGTCACTAGCTCTGGACTGCTCTGAACTCCACTTCTGGGCAAATCTCTGGGGACCCAGACTCATACGGGAAGAAACTGGACTGTCTGGCATTGGCCGGAACTCGAGGGTAGCTTTCTCTCAGAGTTGCTTGCAGCGATTACCGGGACACTGAGACACGGGGCCTCTTAGGGCAGGGCTGAGGATCAGCCATAGCTGTTTGCTCCGCCCTGTTGATTCCCTGAGACCCCGCCCTACCCAAGCTTTGGGCAGAGGCTTTTGCATATGAATGGCCTGGCCCTTTGCAATCTAAAATTACCTAACAAACTGCAGCTGGGTCAGAGAGACCCAGAACTTCCAAAAGAAGGCCCAAGGCCCCACAGCAGCTTGCATTGCTTCACAGCTGGGCCTCATCTGGGCACCTCCAAACCCCAAACAAAGAAGAGGAATCTGCAGATCTCTCC